AGTGTATGAATTTATAGGTGAGTGTGTGTATGAACTTATAGGTGAGTGTGTGTATGAACTTATAGGTGAGTGTGTGTATGAACTTATAGGTGAGTGTGTGTATGAACTTATAGGTGAGTGTGTGTATGAACTTATAGGTGAGTGTGTGTATGAACTTATAGGTGAGTGTGTGTATGAACTTATAGGTGAGTGTGTGTATGAACTTATAGGTGAGTGTGTGTATGAACTTATAGGTGAGTGTGTGTATGAACTTATAGGTGAGTGTGTGTATGAACTTATAGGTGAGTGTGTGTATGAACTTATAGGTGAGTGTGTGTATGAACTTATAGGTGAGTGTGTGTATGAACTTATAGGTGAGTGTGTGTATGAACTTATAGGTGAGTGTGTGTATGAACTTATAGGTGAGTGTGTGTATGAACTTATAGGTGAGTGTGTGTATGAACTTATAGGTGAGTGTGTGTATGAACTTATAGGTGAGTGTGTGTATGAACTTATAGGTGAGTGTGTGTATGAACTTATAGGTGAGTGTGTGTATGAATTGAAGAAGTGCAACATACTTTTCACTGAGCCCATCTCCATGCTCCCAAATGTCAAACGGCAGCTTTGCTTCCTTGGTTAGGCGATTTCACGCTTGCAAACAGCTCGAAGCTGTCGGTGAAAGTGAAACACAGAAAAGTAATCCTGGAAAGTGTCTGCAAATCTCAGTGTAGAGCATGACACTCAGGTGCTTTCATCCCGTGCTCCTTGGCCCACGGCGGATAGTCCATGAATGTATTTGGGGGTGTGGTCTCCCTTGAGCTTCTCCATAACACGCTTCCCCTCCATTTCTTTCTTGTAAGCATGGTGCTCAGCAGTGTAGTTAGGTGTTTGGTATGAGATGCTTTCAAACTGTGGAGACCGTCGGGTGCCTGTCAGGTAGATTTAGATGCCACTGAGCATCCGTGGTGCTGGACCTGGGTTCACTTACTGTGTGGTTTTGAGCAGCACTGATCCAGACCTGGCCTTCACTCACTGCATAGTCTTGGACAGGTCATTTAAGACCTTCCAGGGCTAAATAGTAATAAGTAGATTTGTTGAGTAGAAATGTCACCTATGAGCCGGGAGGTGGTGGCGCATGCCTTTAGTCCCAGCACTCAGGAGGCAGAGGCAAGTGGATCTCTGTGAGTTTGAGACCAGCCTGGTCTATAAGAGCTAGTTCCAGGACAGGCTCCAAAGCTACACAGAGAAACCCTGTCTCGAAAAACCAATAAATAAATGGAAATGTCACCTATGTTAACCACATGACACCCTTCTTATACAAAATTTAGTCAGAATTCAAGTTCATCTAGTGCAAAATCCCACCTAACAGTGGAGTTAAAAGAATTAC